GCAAATAGAGAAAACTATGAACATATTTAAGTTACTATTTTTTTCTATAAATAGCATACAATATATTTAAAACTTTTAGGCTGGCAACTAATACTTGATACTTAAAATATTATGGTTTAGTCATGGGCATAATTTTATTACTAAATAGCCAAACATGTTTATGTTAAAATCTCGAACCGTAATAACTGATAGGTCACGGCACATGCAAGTCCATTCGTGTACGCAATCCAACCTCGGCACTGCACGGTTAACTTTTTATATAAAGATTTACACTACTCTTCTAGAAAGCAAAAATTTAACAGTCGATTTCCAATTACCTGGATTGTTTTCTCTAAATTCTCAGTTTTATGTCCCAGTCCCCTTATCCTCATTTCCCTTGATTTTGCTACTTTTAAGTCAGGTTTCCCACATTCCTAATCAAGAAGGCCTGGTCCTTATTGGGCAGATGTAGCCTCCACGTTCATACCTAACGTTGCAAGAGCAAAAAGAACCTTGGGCTCTCTGGATCTCACGCAGCCCTGGAGCCCGCAGAACACAGTTCTTCCCCCAGGACTGTTCACGCACACAACATCCAAGAAGAAATCAGCTTAGCATGTGCAAGGCGTACGCGGCAAGGAGATAATGGATAATATACGTATTTAATCCTTGTATTAGTGCCCTGTTACAGATAACAAAGCTGAGTAACAGAGAGAGAATCTCAGCCAAGTTTATTGAGCTAGACATCCTGAGCCTATTCTAAGATGCTAACATAACATCGATGACTGGCTGTGAATGGGTCAGTCCTAACAAAGCCATGCTTAGGAAATAAAAGAAGGATGCTTAGCATAGCAAAGCTGATGGATCCAACTAACAACTTTCACAATAGTTTCTGTTGGCTCAATCAGTTCTAGTTGTGTCCCTGGCATTCTGCCCAGTTTCTACCCTTGAAAGATAACACTTAAGGTCTGCTTTAAATGCCACCTTAGTGATGAACTTTTCCCTAATTCTTAAACATGGACCCACATTTTCACAAACCCAATAAAGCGTTATTTCTCCCTCTTGTGAACTTTCAGTTCTTAATACTCATGTGGCATTTCAGTCATTCACTCTGCCTTTCTGAGGTTATGTACCAGGCAATGGGGACACTGAAGGGAATAAGACATGGTCCCCCATCCTAGCCTCAAGGAGCACAGAAATAAAAAGGCAATTCCTGATGCAACGTTGTAAGAGCTAAGATAAACGGAAGCACAGGACTCCAAAGAAGGATAACTCAGACTGTGAAGGAGCATCTTCTGGAAGAAAGGATTCCCCAGCTCAGGAAGGAAAAACTGGAGGCAATCAGATGAAGAACAACGGAGGAGGGGAAGAAAAGAATGGCATTTCAGATAAAAGCACATGGCTGAAAGGTGATGTGCTTTTTGTAGGTGAGAAAGAGCGTGGCGTATCTGAAGATTTGGAAGCAGACCAAGGTGGCTGTAGTTCAATGAAGTGAGAAATGGTCAAGAGATTAGACTGGCAAGAGTGTTGGTGGCCAGAAAACATAAGACGATTACATGACAGGGAATGGATTCTATTGTATTTTCCTCACAATACCGTCGCAAAGATTTTCAATTTTTTTCTGTGAAGGGCCACATAGTAAATATTTTAGGCTTTGAGGGGTCATTCACTGTCTCTCTTTTTTAAGAGATGGGTCTCACTCTGTTGCCCAGGCTCTCTCTCTTTTTAATAACCCTTTAAAAATGTAAAAACCATTCTTAGCTCAGGGCCACAGTTTGGCAACCCCTGTTCTGCTGTAATTTCTTATGTAATGTTGTCTTTCCTGTTAAGATTGTTAGCTCTTTGAGGGCAAATACTGTTACCACTGCGTCTTCAATGTCTAACACAGGGTCTGAAGCACTCAAAAAATATCTATTTTAATTCAGAAGAGAAATGACAAGGATCTGCATTAAGGGAGTATAAAGAAGGAGAAAGATTTGGAAGCTAAAACTTAGAAACCAATTAGTAGGAGATTAAGAGAGAACTTAAAGATAACTCACTACACGTCTTATCTTTCATCATAATTACCTACATGTTTCTTATCCGTTTAGAATACAAATGCCTTGAAAGAGGATCACATCTTTAACATTATGCCTAGCACTGTATTTTGTATAGAGTGGGTATTCACCTTGATTTTTTGAATTCCCATTGTCTTAACCTATGTTTCACAAACATTAAAGTTTCTCAACAACCAAGAAATTTTCTTAAGGAAAGCAGTATACAGTTGGCCCTCTATATCTGCAGATTCAACCAACAGCAGATGGAAAATATTTGAGAAAAAAGACAAAACAATAAAAAATAACAATAAAACAATAAAAATACAAATAAAAAACCAATACAGTACAACTATTTACAGCAATGGTTTATAGATTTATGTAAATCCAAATCCAAAACCAGACCCGTAACTAAAAAAGCCTTATAATTCTTTAGATTCCAAAGACAGATTTTATAAATGATACTGAATTATCCACATCCCTGTTGGCAATGCTTTAGGAAACTGAAAGCCAGCAACATACCTATCTCTAAATAGAAGAAACTAAGCCTGACTGTTTGAGCTGAAACATCAAAATAAACCAAAGAGATCCCATTTTTGTCCAATCTTTATATCCTTAAGAGTAAGAATACAAGATTCAGCAATGAATCATTTCAACTTTAACAGACAAAACAGAACAGAAAACTTTTAAGCATCCAAAGGTTAAACGAGCAGACACAGGGAGATGAGAAAAAACTCTCTGAAGGCAACAATCTAGGATGACTTACAGAGCTGCAGCACCAGAGATAATTTCAATCAACTCTTTTGTGATGACAGCTTGGCGGGTGCGGTTGAATGTCAAAGTCAATTTATCAATCATCTCAGCTACAAACAAAACAAAAAGATGAGACAACAAAATCTAAAACCAGAAACGAATAACTTGTTAATTAATAACTTCTGTTGCTTAATTTAAAAATTTAAGAGATTGTTTCTTTTTGGGTATCAAAGTTGGCCTCTCAAAACATTTTATGAAGGTATTGTTACATCTTTGATAGGCTACCTTTTCACAGTAATTGCAAACCCACTACCTATCAAGTGAGACACTTCCCTATAGGCAGAGAATATTTTGGTAAGGTTTTGTTTTGTTTTTTGAGACAGGGTCTCACTCTACTTCCCGGGTTAGAGTGCAGTGGTATCATCATAGCTCAATGAACCTCAAACTCCTGGGCCCAAGCGATCCTTCTACCTCTGCCCCCTGAGTAGCTGGGACTACAGGTACACACCACCATGCCTGGCTAATTAAAAAAAAAAAAAATTTTTTTTGTAGAAATGGGATCTCGCTATGTTGCTCAGGCTGGTTTTGAGCTCCTTGGCTCAGGCAATCCTGCCCTGGCCTCCTAAAGTGCTGGGATTACAGGCATGAGCCACTGCACCCAGCCTATGGTAGTTTCTAGACAACAGACCCCTCTCAGCAGACAGGCACTGTGTGCTCACAAGAGTTCCTGCTCGCACCCTCTGTATCATGTACTTACAAGCGTTCTTGCTGGCGTTGTCCATGGCTGTCATCCTAGCACTCTGCTCGCTGGTGGTAGACTCCTTCAAAGAGTAGTAGATGATGTTAGCCAGATTGTATTCTTGGTAATTTTGCAGCACGTCAGCATCAATATCATCGTAGATACTCATACTCTCTGTCAACACAAGTGATGAATTTCTTTGAAGTCATACAGAGCAAAGATTTATTTCATCAAAAACAGCTTTACTAATATAAAACTCCTTTATAATTACAAAGCAGACATTATGTAAGATAAATGAAACCAATTGGTTCCAATAATTTCAGCCATTCCCACACTATGGATTATAGCTTATTTTCAGCAAAACATGTGTAACAAAGTGTTTGATATTAAGCATCTACTGCAGATGCTTAAAAAGTAAGAAGCCAACATTTAAAGTGATGGCACTAAATCTCATGGTTACCAAGTCCTCTGGACAGCATCTAGCAAGTGCCTGTTACAAAGCCAGCAAGCACTAAGTAAGTGGATTTTTGGGGAAAAAAAAATTAAGAATTAAAACCAATATAGTGTAATACAGGTTAAGCATCCCTAATCCAAAAGTTCATTCCGAAATGCTCCAAAATCCCAATTTTTTTGAGCACTAACACGACACTACAAGTGGAAATTCCACACCTGACCTCTGGTGATGGGTCACAGTCAAAATTTTCACGCCCCAAATTATTACAAATATTATATAACATTACCTTCAGGCCATGTGTATAAGGTATATATGAAACATAAATGAATTTTATGTTTAGACTTGGGTCCCATTCCCAAGATAGCTCATTATAAATATGCAAATATTCTGAAATCCAAAATACTTCTGGTCCCATGTATTTCAGATGTGGGATACTCAACCTGTACAATAATTCCAATTTAGCCATTTGATTACTGGAGAAATCTGAATGTATCAATCTGGA